CTAAATTTGTGGGGATTTGGGGGTGGAGGAACATCTCAAGGGTCAGATCCTGGCCCTGGAGAGGAGCTGCTCTGGCAGGACCTTTTGGGAAGCTTTTGGATTGGGTTCACCCCCTGGTTTGGGAAGCGATGAGGAAGAGGGAAGGGATGGGAAGCAGGGTGGAGACAGCTCTTCCATGGGGGAATTCATCCCAAATGCCAAAACTGGAGCAGAATAAATCCATTTCCAAGGGCTCCCTGGGGGCCCTGAGGGGCTTCCCAGCACTCCAGGAACCCATTCCCCATCCTGGAGAAGGACCTGGGATAACTTTGGAGGTCCCACCTCCCTGCCCTCTCCCACCCCAGCCACCACATCCAGCCTTTCCCCAGCACCCGGAATGTGGGAAACATTGGGAAGCACCTCCAGACCCTCCAGGGATTCTCAGGAGCTCTGCCACCCCCAGCCCAGGGCTGTAACCTGCTCATTTGCATGTCCTCATCACCCCTAATTAAACCCTTGTGGTGCCCTCGGAGCCCCCCCCGCCCTGGAAATCCCCGGGATGTGCTGCCAGGATCGGGGAGGGTGGGAAGCAAACAGGACGGGTCCCACACACATGGGTGGCCTTGGGGACGTTGGTTTTCCCTCCTCACCCTAAAAATTCTTGCAGGTTTGTGGCCAAAGCCACGGGGCCGTGGAGGAAATCCAGCTTTTTGTGGGGTCGTGTCACTCCTGGTCCAGCCACGGCCCAGGATCACGGCTCGGGATTTGGGGGGACACAAGGGGTGGGGCCACCGAGTGCAGCTCCCTCGGTGAAACGGGGAAAAACCCCACTTCAAGCTCTTCAAGGGAAAAAAGCTGCTGGTGGGGAGGTCACTGGGCTCCATCCAGGAGCCACCAGCTGTGGGAATCCCTGGCTGAGCTGGACATGGTCACCTGTCACCCCGGGACCCCCGGGGGTCACCCACTGCCCACCTTCTCCACCACCCTCCAGAAACAGGAGAGGGGAAAAAAATCAGCCCCCAGGGAGGTCCCCAGGAGATTTTGGGAAGCCAACGAGCCAGGAAAGCCCCAGGGACTTCATCCTGTTCCTCTGAAGGGGTGGGATCGGTGACGCGCTGGGAAAACCGGGATCAGCCGGAGCAATGTGGGCCAGGACACCCCACGGGCACTGAGCTGGTGGCACCGGGGACTGGGATCCCAAGGGGGGAACCCCAAGGACATTCTCAGGGCAGGGAGGGGTTTGGGGGCAGAGCTGAGACGGGACCTGCAGGGGTGGCAGAGGAGTGACACCCCAGTGACACCCTCCCCAGAGGGACCAGCAGGGTGAAGGACACAGCAGGGTGACAGGACACAGCAGGGTGACAGGACACAGCAGGGTGACAGGGACCTGTGGGGTAATGAGGACCCAACAGGGTGACAGGAGCCAGCAGGGTGATGAGGACCCAAAAGGGTGATGGGGGACAGGAGGGTAATGGAGACCAGGAGAGTGACAGGGACACAACAGGTGACGTGGACCCAGCAGGGACAAGGACCCAAAAGTGCAACAGGGACAAGTAGGGTGACAGTGACCCAGCAGATGACAGGGACAAGCAGGGTGCTGAGGATCCAAAAGGGTGACGGGGACCAGGAGAATGTTGGGGATCCAGTAGGTGACAGGGACCAGTAAGTGACAGGAATGAGTAGGGTGACAGTGACCCGGCAGGGTGACAGGGACAAGCAGGGTGACAGAGGTGAGTAGGGGGACAGGGACAGGGTGACAGGGACCCAACAGGGTGACAGAGACCAGCAGGTCCCGTGGCTGGGGACAGTCCTGGGGGACCTTGGAGCAGGGACAGCCCCAGTGGGATGACAGGCAGGGTGACAGGGGGGTGTCCCCGAGCACCCCCCGTCTCTTTCCCTGTGTCACCCCAAACCAGCCGAGCCCGGTGGCTGTGACAGTGGGGACATCACCTTGTCACTGTCACACCGAGGAGACCCCGCGGGGGGCAGAACTGTCCCCAAGAGGGACATCCCACCCCCAGGCCGTGCCACGTCGCGACATTGCCACATCCTGCCCTTCCCGGGACCCAGGGACAACGATCCAGCGCCGCTTCCCTGCCCCCGAGGGGTTAAACGGACCCAGCTGTCCCCAGAGCGGGAGGAGCCGCGGTCCCCACACCGCGGTGGCAGGTCCGGGCTCACCGCGGTGACGTGGGGACGGATCCCGGCGGTTTGGTGGCTTCGGAGCCGCAGCAATTCCCGGCCCCGGGGGCACCTGGAGCGATGTGTCAGCGGGAATTCCAGGGACCGGTGGCCCCGCCCTGCCCGGGGACCCCCAAACCCGCCCCGGCCTCGCGGTGCCCCCGGGCTTGGAGCCGACCCGGCGCCCCCAGCGCTGTCCCCAGACCCGTGCGGGGACCCCCCCAGGAGCAGAAAAGGGGGTGCAGGATGAGGCCCCTTCCCTGCCCGGAACAGCGGCGCTTTGGGGTCAATTCTGCCCGGTTTGATGCCGCCGGGTTCAAAACCTGAAATGGGAAAAGGTTTTGGAATCTCCGTGACACTCGAAGCCCGTTCCCGGCTCTTCCCAAGGGAATGTGTAGCTCCTGGGGACTTCCTGAGCCTGGGGAAGGGCGAGCGGGGCACAGCGGGGCCGGGGGGCCGCGGGGAGGTGTCGCCACTGCCTGGGGATTGAGGGGAAAAACAACGAAAATGGGGGTTCTGCAGGATTTCTGCAGCCGGCGTCACTCCCAGCGCGCCCAGTGGGGTGACTGGGAGGAGCTGGGAGGGGCGGGGCGAGCACCCGGTCCCTGCCGGGGGTGGCAATGGTGGGACCGCGGTCCCCCCGAGCCGTGGGTGCCGCGGGGGGGGAACCAGCCCACTCACCCCCGGGGGGCTCGGGACCCTCAGCGGGAGGGATGCAGGGAGGAGGCCGAGCTGGGAATGCTGTGCCCCCCCAGTTCCCCGCCCCCGTGGCTCCCAGTCAGTGGGCCCGGGTGCCCCGGGGTGCTGTGGTGGCCCCGCACGCCACTGGGTGACACGGGGGGAACTGAGGAGCGGCCCCGGGACGAGCATCCCCCGCCTGGGCCGGACCCCCCACCCTAAATGGATCCCAAATGGATCCCAAATGCCCTTTCAACCCCCTTTGAAGCAGGGCCGGGCCCTCGAGGGGTCTTGGGGTGGGAGGGTGAGGGGATATCGGCCCATATCCCAAAAGACCCCCCCCTTTGCTCTACAAAGGTCTCCCCCAGCCCCCCGCCCCCAGCCAGGGGGTCCTGAGGAGGGAGGAGGGGACAGGGGAGGCCTGTGAGGGGAACAACCCCCCCTAGTCCCCTCCCACAGCCGTCATGGGGGGGGACTGAGCTCTGGCAACCCCAAATCTCCCACGGTGCCACAAACAGCCCCTCGTGACCCCCTCCCTGGAGAAGTGTCACCCCAATGTCCCCAGGGCCCCCCCGGGGGGTCGGAGGCACCAGAGGGACCCGGGACCCTGCACATCTGGGGCTCCACGTAATGGGGGGGCTGCACATCTGGGGGACTGCACATCTGGGGGTGACACATCTGGGGAGGCGGCACAGCCGGGGGTGTCGCACAACTGGAGGTCACACATCTGGGGGTTCACATCTGGGGTCACACATCCGGGGGATTCACACATCTGGGGGTGGCACTTCCAGGGCTCGCCCATCTGTGGGGGGGTGTTACATCTGGGGTCACACATCTGGGGGTCACACATCTGGGGTCACACATCTGGGGTCACACATCCGGGGGATTCACACATCTGGGGGTGGCACACCTGGGGCGGGGCCGTTGTGCCCCCTCGTGGCCGCAGGTGGGAACTGCAGCCGCCCCTCCCCGAGCGGGGAAACTGAGGCACGACCCCAACCCCGCCCCCCCCGCGCTCCTCGGGGGGCACTCACAGCCCCCCAGAACCTCCTCCGCTCGCTTCTGCTCCTACTCGTTCACCGACGGTCCCCGAACCTCCCCAGAGGGGTGTCACCGTGTCACCACCTGCTCCGCGGGACACGGGGGGGGCGGGGTGGGGGGTCCCTCCGCGGGGCCTCAGTTTGGCCCAAAAAACCAGGAAAAGGAATGGAGAGAGAGGGTCAGCCTGGAAGTGACAGCCCGTGGGGTGGGGGGGCACGGATGGGACCCTCGGGGACACGGGGGACACGGCCCAGCCCAACCATCACCCCCCCGGCTGCACGGGAGAAGCCAAAAGGCTCAAAATGAACCCAAACCCACCTCGCCGTGCTGGCACAGGGGGACCAGGGGGTCACCCTGATGCCACGGACACGACCCCCGGCCACCCACTGCCCCCCAGCCCAGGGTGACCCCCTTGCCGCCATCCCCCCCCTAAATCCCGGCCCCTCACCCCGGATACGGCCCCTTCCTGGGAGGACTTTCCCGGCAGTGCCAGTTTTTGGGCGAGCCCGGGGTTGCCCCGGGGCGAGGGCACAGAGTCCTGCGGGGAACAGGGTTGGGTGTGGCCCGGCGGGACGTCACCGGGACCCCGCCCCGGGCTGGGGGACATCGGGCGGGGGGTCCCCGGCCCTCCCTGGGAACCCCCGAGGCCGCCCCGCCCCGCCCAGGGCGGGGTCCGGGCTCACGGGAGGGGTGGTGGCCGTTCCAGATGGCTCCGAACCCTCCTCGTCCCCCCCCGCGGTGACGCGAGGGCAAAGAGCAGGTGGGTGCGGTGCCGGCGACAATCCCTGTCCCCCGCCCGTGTCACCCTCCGCACCCACAGCCCGGGGCAGGAGCAGCGGCGCCCGGGTCGGGGTGAGCGGGGACACCCCCGGACAGGGACCCCAGCCAGGGACAGGGTGGGGGGCGGCTCCGACCCCTGCGAGACCCCCGCGGGGCTCGGATGGGGGCAGGGGGGCTGCGGGCAGGGGGACAAGGGGGTCCTGGTGGCCACCGGGGCCGTGGCACCATCCGAGGGAGTGCGGGGGGTGTCGCCCGTTCGGCTGGGACACAGCGGGGCTGACACAGGTGCCCACCCCAGGATCCCGTCACAGGATCGAGACCCCCTCGCTGTCCCCGGCAAGATGGGAGACCCCTTGGGCCGCTGGAGCAGCCCCTCGAGCCGGTGAGTGCCAGCGAGAGGGGGGGGCCCCAGCGAGGGGGAGGGGGTGGCACGGGGGGTACAAAGGTCCTTCTGTCCCTCCAGGAGCGACCACGACGACAGGTCCTCGTTCCGACCCCCCCACACCTTCGCCCGCCCCAGCGGGAAAAGCATCTACCGTGAGTGGGGGCTGCGCCCTAAACCCCCCCAAGCCCCCCCCGCTCCGTCCCCGGCCTGTCCCTGTCCCCTCACCCCGCGTGTCCCCACAGAGCAGCGCAAGGACTACGGGCAGACCCTGCTCCGGGCCCAGCAAGAGTTCCAGCACCACGTGGAGGTGGGAGACCCCAAAGCACCCCGAGCCCCCCAAAGCGCCCCGAGCTCCCCGGCCTTGCCGGGGTGTCCCTGTGTCACCATGTCCCCCCGTGTCCCCATGTCTCCCCCGTGTAACCGTGTCCCCCCGGTGTCACCGTGTCCCCCTGTGTTGCCATGTCCCCTCGTGTCATCATGTCCCCCTGTGCCACCGTGTCCCCCCCGTGATGCCATGTCCCCCCCATCACCGTGTACCCCCCGTGTCCCCGTGCCCCCCATGTGTAACCGTGTCCCCCCGTGTCACCGTGTCCCCCTCATGTCACCGTGTCCCCCCCGTGTCACCGTGTGTCATCGTGTCCCCCCGTGTCACCGTGTCCCCCCGTGTCACCGTGTCCCCCTCACTGTGTCCCCCTCGACACTCTGCCCCCCATGTCACCATGTCCCCCCCCGTGTCACCGTGTCCCCCCGTGTCACCGTGTCCCCCCGTGTCACCGTGTCCCCCCCGTGTCACCGTGTCCCCCCAGCACCTGCTGTCGCTGCGCCTGGAGCGGGATTTGCGCAGCCCCGAGGATTGTCTGGGACGGCTGAAGGCGCTGGAGGCGCAGGGAAGGATTTGGGGGCAGGATGTGACCCTGCAGGTCAAGGACCAGGAGCTGGTGCTGAGCGATGTGGAGAGCAAGGTACCCCCCGGCCAGGGCACCTCCAATCCCTGGTACCCCCTGGCCCAGGTATCCCGCAAAGCCTGGTACCCCCTGGCCACGGCACCCCCTGCAACCCCACTACCCCCCCCCAGCACCCCAATAACACTGTAAGCCCCTATGTCCCTGCCACCCTCCAACCCTGGTACACTTACAAGCTGGCACTCCTATAACCCCAGTACCCCAGCCATGGCACTCCTGTAATCCTGGCATCCCTATAACCCCAGTACCCCAATCCTGGTATTCCTATAAGCAAAATACCCCCACCCTGGCACCCCTATAACCCCAATACCCCTATTCTGGTATCCCTATAACCCCAATGCCCCAATCCTGGCACCCCTATAACCCCAATGCCCCAATCCTGGCACCCCTATAACCCAAATACCCAGCCTTGTCACCCCTATAACCCCAATACCCCAGCCCTGACACCCCTATAATCTAAATACCCCAACCCTGGCACCCCTATAATCCAAGTACCCCAATCCTGGCACCCCTATAACCCCAATACCCCAGCCCTGGCACCCCTATAACCCTGGTACCCCCAGTCTGGGCCCCCACAACCCCACTGGCTGTCCCCCTAAACCCTCCATCCCTCGCCTGTGCCAACCCAGCACCCCCCTTAACCCTTTACACCCGCCCCCCCATTCCCGATCCCCCCAGTGCCCCCCCGCCCCCCCTCATCCCTTTCCCGGCCATTCCTGGGGGGCTCTGAGCCCCTCGTGTCCCCCCCCAGGAGGAGCTGGAGTCATTCCCGCTGGGAAGTGTCCAGGGCTGCACGGCCGGGCTGGAGAACACGGTGTTGGCCGTGAGCGTCCAGGAGTGGAGCCCCCCCGGGACCACCGTGCTGCTCTTCCAGTGCGAGCGGCCGGGGGTGAGCGCGGGGGGGGCAGGGTCGGGGGAACCCCCCGGGACGGGGGAGCAGCGTGGGAGGATGAGCCCTGAGAGGGGGCAGATGGGGGGCAGCCCCCGTGCTGGGGGGTGATGGGGGCAGGGAGGGGCAGCCCCCGTGCTGGGGGGTGATGGGGGCAGGGAGGGGCAGCCCCCGTGCTGGGGGGCTCACGGGGGTCTGTGCCAGGCAGAGGTGCTGAGGACCAGCCTGGAGAAGGTGCTGCGGCAGCGCAGGGAGGAGCAGAGGGGCCATCACGGCTACAGGTGAGGGAGGGTCGTGGCTCTTCGTCCCCGCCCGAAGTGTGGCCCCCCAAAATTTCTGGGTCTGAGGGGATCTCCCTGCGGGAGATGATGACCCGGTGTCCCCCAAAGAGTCCCTCCCTGGGGGGGCTCCTTTTGTCCACTACCCCAGGGCCTGGTCCAGCCCCCTATCCTACCCCCCCCTTATGGGTTGAGACCCCCACCCACCCACGGGCTCAGCCCCCCCATCCCACCCACCCATTCTCCATGGGCGGAGACCCCCTCCCACCCCATTTCCAGGGATACAACCCCCCCATCCCATCCAGGGGCTCAGCCCCCCGTCCTACACCCCCTACCATCCCCACGGGCACAGAGCCCTCGGATACCCCCCCGCAGCCCCTTGGGCTCATCCCCCTTCCCACCCCCTCCCCCCGCACCCCGCATTCCCCCCGGGCCCAGCCCCCCCTCACCGCCCCCCCTCTGTCCCAGGAGCAGCCCGGACGTGCCGCCGAGCGCGACCCCCCCGTACGTGGTCCCGGAGCCCCCCGAGCCCGACCTCCACGTGCCCCCCCCGCGCGGGCCGCCCCCCCAGCGTGGGCCGCCCCCCCCGAGCTACAGTGAGTCCCGTGGGGTGGGGCGGGGGGTGGTCCTCGTGCCTCGGTGTCCCCCCGAGCAGAGGGTGACCCTGGCGTGACACTGGAGCCCCCCCGGCGTCCCCAGGTGCCCCGGACCTCCCCCCGGTGCCCCGGGCCAACCCCCCAGCCCAGCTCACGGCCGAGGTGGACCGAGATGTTGTAAGTAGCCCCCCCATACCCACCCCTCCCTCCGTGGATGAGACTGGACCCCCTCCGGTCCCCCCCCAGCACCCACCGGGCCCCCCCCGCGCCCACAGGAGGTTCTGAACCACGTCCTGCGGGACCTGGAGCTCTTCGTGGCGCAGCTGAAGGTGTCCCCGGGCTCCCTCAGCCACAAGAAGAAGAAGAAGAAGGAGAAGAACCCGGGTAGGAGGGGAGGGGAGCGGCCCTGGTGGGCTGGGGGGGCCCGGGGGGGCCGTCCCGGTGCCAGCGCCCCGTGTGTGCCCCCCCAGCGCTGCCCCCAAAGGAGGACTTCGAGCATTTCTTCCAGAAGGTGAAATACGCCCTGAACCTGCTGGTAGGTCCGGGGGGGCTGGGGGGGACCCGCAGGGGGGCCGGGGGGGATGTGAGGGGATGGGGGCATATGGAGGGGGATGTGTGAGAACAGGGGGCTGTGGCGCTGGGGGGCTGTGTGGGAATGGGGGGATGTGGGGATGAGGGGCCCTGTGGGGATGGGGGCTGTGTGGGGTTGGGGGGATGTGGGGATGGGGGAGCTGCAGTGATGGGGGCTGTGTGAGGAAAACGGGGGCTCCGTGGGGACACCCCTTCCCCCCTGCAGGGCCGGACCCACCGGCACGTGCAGGACCCCGACCCCGCCGAGCTGCTGCGGCTCATCTTCTCGGCCCTGACCTTCGTGAGTGCCCCCAAAACCGCAACCCCCCCAAAACCGGGTCCACCACCCCAAAATCAGGACCCCCTCAAAAACTGGGATCACCCCCAAAACTGGGTCCACCACCCCAAAACCAGCCCATCCCCCAAGCGTGCTCCCACCCCCAAAACCGCTCCCACCCCCAAAACCGGCCTCACTCCCAAAACCGCGCCCACCCCCCAAAACCCGGTTCCACCCCCAACCCCCCCCAATCGGGACTACCCCCCAAAACGTGTGCGCAGGGCGGGATCCGCCCCTCACCCCCAGCCGGGGGGGCTGTTTTGGGGGAGCGGTTTTGGGGGTCCCGCTCCATCCCCCCCCCCAGGTGCTGTCCCGCTGCCCCAGCCCCGGCCTGGCCCCCGCCGTGGAGACCCCGCTGCTGCTGCCGGAGGCGCTGGAACTCCTGGAGCAGAGCCTGGGAGATGACGATTACGGCACCTGGAAGAGCCTCGGCACCGCTTGGAACAGGGCCAGGTGTGCTCCAGGTCCCCCCGGCACCGGGGAAGGGGGTCTGGATGGGGGGGGGGAAGGGATCACAGCACCCACTCCGGTGTGTGTCCCCCCCGATGGTTGTAGGGCCGAGTACCCCAACGGCGCCCAGGTGCCCGGGTACGTGCCGGTGTTCTCGGACGGGTGGCTGCCCCCCCCGAGGGAGCAGGAGCGGCCCGGGGGGCTCCAGGACCCCCCGCCCCCCGCCTCAGGTGCCTCAGCTCGCCCGGGCCCCTCGCCCCTGTCCGCGCCCCCCGCCCAGGACCCGCCCCCCAGGTAAGTGCCCCCCGTCCCCGGGGGGTGCTGAGGGTGGGGGCAGGGTGTGTCCCCCCCCGGTGGTGACCCGCCCCCTCCCCAATTTGCAGCCCCCCCGGCCCTGCCCAGGGGCTGTTCCGAGCCCTCTACGACTTCCAGGCTCGGAATTCCCAGGAGCTGAGCGTCAGGAAGGGGGACACACTGCAGGTACAGTGCGGGTGGTCCCCGCTATGGGCGGGGGGAACAGAGTGGGGACCCCCGGCCTCCCGGGCCCCCACCATGGCCCCCTGTGCCCCCCCAGGTCCTGAGCCAGCAGAAGAAGTGGTGGCTGGTGCAGGACGAGCGCGGGGACCGCGGGCACGTCCCGGGCAACATCCTGGAGCCCCTCCCGGAGCCGGGGCGCGGGGGGGGACCCAGCGCCGGCCAGGTGGGCGTCCCCCCCTCCCCTGCCCTCCTCGAGCCCCCCATCAGGAGGGGGCGGCCGGGGCACACCCCGTTGTCCCCTCCCGTGTCCCCCCAGGACAGCCCCCCCCCCCTGCGCCCCGACTCCACCCCGGCGGAGGTGACGGCCTGGCTGGCGGACAAGGGCTTCTCGCGGATGTAGGTGGTCCCTTGAGCCCCCCCGAATTCCTGTGGGTCCGTCTGGGAGGGGGGACGAGCCCGGCTCACCCCTGTGCCCCCCCAGCACGGTGCGGAGCCTGGGGGTGCTGCGGGGGCAGGAGCTGCTGCAGATGCGCCCCGAGGAGCTGCGGGCGGTCTGTCCCGAGGAGTGGCGGAGGGTCCTCTTCAAGCTGTCGGCCGCCAGGACATCGCTGGAGGTGGGGGACCCCCTGCCCTGAGCCCCCTCCCCAGCACGGGCTGTCCCTGGGGGTGAGGGACCTCTCCCCTCGCACCCCCTCCCCACCTCGGGGCTGTTCCTGCGGTTGAGGGGACACCCCCGCCCCGGCACCTCCCCCGCCGCCCGGGGCTGTCCCTGGGGGGGCGGGACCCCCGCCCCCCAAACCCCTCCCCAGCCCGGCCCCCCGGCCCCTCCCCACTTCAGGCCTGTCCTTGGGGTGAGGGGCTCCCGAGACTGTCCCTGAGGGCGAGACACCCCCCTGCGCCCTCCCCCCACTCCCGGGCTGGCACTGGGGATGTGGGACCCCCACCCCGCACCCCCTCCCCATCCCGGAGCTGGCTTTGAGGGTCAGGGACCCCCATCCCGCTCCCCCTCCCCACCCCGGCGCTCTCGGACCCCCGGCCCCGCTCCCCCTCCCCACCCCGCAGCTCCCCCCACGACCCCCCCACCTCTCCCACCCCTTCTCCGCAGGTTTGAGCCACCGAGGCCGCTCCGATGTCCCCGCCCTGTCCCCACCACGCCCCTCCCAGGACGGAGCCCCCCGGGACGCCCCTCACACCCCCCCCGAGACAGAGAAACGCTCCTTGATGGCAGAGGACACGCGACCCCCCCGGAGCCACAAACGGCTGCTGGGACCCCTCGGGGGGCTCTTGGGGACACCCCCCCAGGGAAGCGGAGGGCAGGACCCCCCCCTCGGGGGGTGCAGAGGCTGCAGAATGATTGTGCACCCCCAAAATGTGTGGGAAATAAAGAGTGACAGAAATGGGCTGTGCGGGGGGACCCCGAGTGTGGGGGGGACAGGGAGGAGAGGGAAGGGAGGGGAACGGGGCGGGGAGACAAGGACAGGGAAGGGAGGGGGAGGTCTGGGGGGGGACAGGGCAGGGGGACAAGAACAGAGCGGGGGGGACGAGGGGACAGGGAAGGGAGGGGGACAAGGACAGGACAAAGGGGGGACAGGGCAGCAAGGGAGAGGGGGACAGGGAAGGGAAGGGGATGGGGAAAGGGATAGGGGACAAGGACAGGGAAGGGAGGGGGACAGGACGGATGGGGGGGGACAGGGCAGGGAGGAGACAAGGCCCTTCCCCCCCAGCAGCACCCGAGGGACCCCCGTGTCCCCGCCTGGGGAAGGGAGGGGGCGATGGCACGAGGGGCCCAGGGGACAGCGCTGTCCCCATGTCCCCAGCCCACCCCGCCCAGCGCCCTGCGGGGGTGGCAGAGTCCCAACACCCCCCCCAGCCTTTGTGAGCGAGGCCTCATTAGCGCTCATTAGCAATGTCCTAATGAGGCGGGCGGGGCCCCTTTCCCGGGGGGCCCTGGGGGCAGCACAGGGCTCAGCCCGGGCCCCCCAAACCAGCCGGGGAAGGGGGGGTGACACCCCGGGGCAGAGACCCCCTCACCACACACCCCCCTCCTCCCACCCCGGTGCCCCCCAGTGCCATCACACGGGGGGCTCAGCTGCCACTTCTACAGCTCTTTATTATCTTGGGGGGCTTCACGCCGGCGGGGCCGATCCCCCCCCAGGACGGAGGGTCTGGGGGGGCCAGGACAGGACCCCCCCCACTCTCCTGGCCCCTACAGCTTCTTGTTGCCCCACTTGGCCATCTTGTTGTTGATGGGCATCTTCTGGAACTGGGGGGACTTCATGTAGGCAGCCACCTTCTCCAGGGCCTGGGGGGGCACGGGGGCCATCAGGGACCCCCCCACCGCAGCGCCACCCCCACCCAGGGGTGCCCTCGGGGTGCAGACCCCCAAACACTGCACTGGGGGCTCCGTGACACCCCAGTTCCCACGGGGTCCCCCTTATTTTGGGGACTCTGCAACCCCCCAACCTCCACAGGGTCCCCCTTAACAGGGGGCTCTGTGACCCCCCAATCCCCGTGAGGTCCCCCGTGACCCCCCCTCACCCCGAAGCGCTCCATGAAGTCCCGGAGGTTCTGGAAGGGCTCCAGGCACTTGGGCTCGAAGATCCTGTTCTGATCCAGCACATCAAACATCAGGAAGTCCACGAAGGTCAGCTGGGGACAGGGGGGGACACGGTGAGGCCAAAGCCCCTCCCCAGCCCCCCCCGGCCCCCAGGGGGTCCCGGCGGTACCTTGTCCCCCGCAAACCACTTTCTGTCCCCCAGGAAGTTGGAGAAGAGCTTCAGCTTCCCCGGGAGCTGCTCCAGGTATCCCGGCTTCAGCTTCTCCTGCGGGAGGAAGGGGTGAGGGGGGGCCCCCCGGACCCCACCCCGGGGGTCCTGTCCCCGCTGGGGGTCCCCCAGCCCGTGGGACACTCACGAAGTCGGGGCTGTAGCAAACCATGACGAGGCTCATGCGGAAATCCATGACCTGGTTCTCCAGCACGTCCACCCTGCGGATCTCCTCCTCCGACTCACCGCCTGGGGGGCACGGCAGGGCTGGGGGCCCAAACCCCCCAACCAACCCCAACCCACCCTGCTCTGACCCCAAACCAACCCCAACCCACCCTGCTCTGACCCCAAACCAACCCCAACCCTGCTCTGACCCCAAACCAACCCCAACCCACCCTGCTCTGACCCCAAACCAACCCCAACCAACCCTGCTATGACCCCATACCAACCTCAACCCTGCCCTAAACCCCAAACCAACCCCAACCCTGCCCTAAACCCCAAACTAACCCCAACCCTGCTCTGACCCCAAACCAACCTCAGCCTTCTTCTGACCCCAAACCAACCCCAATCCTGCTCTAACCCACCAACCAACCCACCTCACCCTAACCCTACTCCAACCACAACCCCAATTCCAACCCCAAGTGAAGCCCAATCCAATTCCAGCCCCAACCCAACCCCATTCCCCCGCACTGACAGAGGCGGTGCCGGCGGGCGATGTGCCGCAGGATCGCGTTGCTCTGCGTCAGCCGCACGGGGCCATCGATGAAATAGGGCAGCTGGGGGACAGGGGACAGCGGGGTCAGGGACAGGGGACAGCGGGGTCAGGGGTGTGGGGACAGTGAGGTCAGGGACAGGGGGACAGCGGGGTCAGGGACACAGGGACAGCGGGGTCAGGGACACGGGGACAGCGGGGTCAGGGACACGGGGACAGCGGGGTCAGGGACACGGGGACAGCGGGGTCAGGGACACGGGGACAGCGGGGTCAGGGGTGTGGGCACAGTGAGGTCAAGGGACAGGGACAGCGGGGTCAGGACACAGTAACAGCAGGGTCAGGGACAAGGGGGACACGGGTCGAGGGAGCAGGGGACAGCGGGGTCAGGTGTGGGGACAAGACGGTCCAGGGACAGGGACGCGGGGTCAGGGAACAGGACGCGGGGTCAGGGACACATGGGACAAAGCGGGGTCAGGGTGTGGGGGATTGAGGTCAGGGACGGGGGAAGCGGGGTCAGGGCAAGGACAGCGGGGATCATGGACAGGGGGACAGCGGGTCAAGGAAGCAGGGACAGCGGGGTCAGACAAGGAACAAACGGGGGCAGGGACACGGGGACACGCGGGGTCAGGGGTGTGGGGACAGTGAGGTCAGGGACAGGGGGACAGCGGGGTCAGGGACACAGGGACAGCGGGGTCAGGGACACGGGGACAGCGGGGTCAGGGACACGGGGACAGCGGGGTCAGGGACACGGGGACAGCGGGGTCAGGGACACGGGGACAGCGGGGTCAGGGACAGGGGACAGCGGGGTCAGGGGTGTGGGGACAGCGGGGTCAGGGACACAGGGACAGCGGGGTCAGGGACACAGGGACAGCGGGGTCAGGGACACAGGGACAGCGGGGTCAGGGACAGGGGACAGTGAGGTCACGGACAGGGGACAGCGGGGTCAGGGGTGTGGGAAGAGGGGGTCAGGGACATGGGGACACGGGGACAGTGGGGTCAGGGACACAGTGTGGGGACACCAGGGCATGGAGACACTGGCAGAGGACACTGGTGTGGGGAGCCCAGCACATGGGGCCACAGGGACCCCAGGGATACAGGGACCCAGGAGCCCAGGACCCCAGAGCCACAGGGACCCCAGGACATGGGGACACGGGTACACAGGGACCCCAGGACACAGGACATGGGGACCCAGGGACCCCAGGACACAGGACATGGGGACCCAGGGACCCCAGGATTCAGGACATGGGTACACAGGGACCCCAGGACACAGGACATGGGGACCCAGGGACCCCAGGACACAGGACATGGGGACACAGGGACCCCAGGACACAGGACATGGGGACACAGGGACCCCAGGACACAGGACACAAGCCCCCAGGCCCCCCCATACATTGGGAAAGTCCAGCCCCAGCTTCTCCTTCTCGTTGATCCACTGGCTCTTGTCGTAGTTGGGGGCTGGGGGGGACAAGGGGGGTGGGTCACGTCCTGTCCCACCTCCCAAAGCCCCCAGAGCTCGAGGGTGGGGCGGGGACCCCCCAGGCCCCCCCAGACCCCCCTCACCTTCCCCACAGCTGTAGAGCTGGTCCTCGTAGGGGGTCGCCGGGTACTCCAGGAGCAGGCGGATGGCGGGGGCCAGCTGGGGGGGGGCATTGTACCCCACAAAATCACCCCCCCCGTGGGCAAACCACCCCCCCCAACATCCCCAGGGGAGCCCCCGCCGCGGGGGGACCCCACAAAACACGGGGGGACCCCAAAAGGAACTCCCCCCCACCCTCTAAGGGCAGCAGGACCCCCGGAGACCCCCAGATGACAGCCCAGACCACCCCCGAAAGAGCAGGAGGAGCCCAAGAGCCCCCCAAAAAGAGCAGAGGGAGCCCCCAAAACGCCCCCAAAGAGCAGAGGGACACCCACAGCCCCCCCAGTAGATGAGGGGGACTCCCGAAGACCTTCCGTAGCCTCCCAAAGGACCAAGAGAATCCTTGAAGACCCCCCGAAGACCCAAAAAGAACAGGAGGACGCCCGCAGCCCCCCCGAAAGACCCGGGGGGGCCCCGAAAACCCCCCGCAGCCCCCACCGAGATTAAAGGGAACCCCGCAACCCCCCCAAAATAGCAGGGGACCCCCTCAGCCCCCCCTAGAAGACCAGAGGGACCCTCGAA